GCGTGTCCTCTCCCAGTGCTGCAGCTCAGTCTTTGTCTCCTCCGTGTTCCTGCAGGGTTGAATTTCGTAGCCTGATGCCAGCAGAACAATTCTCAATTTTTTCAGCTTCGTATCCCTGTCGTTGTTCCTTCCATGGGGTAAAGCAGCTGGAAACACCGAGCTCTTCCCTGCAAACACGTCATGTGTTAGAGATACTGTGAAGAATATGCGAGTCAATGTTGAAATTCTGCAGCATCAGAGAGCGGCTCGTCCATCATGTTGTTTACAGCGGCCATGTCCAGGCTCTCACCTTGGTGATGCTATCTTTGCTGCTGCCCCTTTATTCCCTTAATCATTGTCAGTGCAGTAGTTAATAAAAGATCGTCACTGTTGTTGATTTCATTTTGATCACTTACCTAAAGTCTCCTTATCTTCACATTATTCCTGTTTCTCTGCTGGTCTGAATCTTGGGCTTCACTGTTGAACTTGATGAAGGTTCATTTTTTACATACAGACTACTGTTTGCATAAAATGTATTTGTAATTAAAGTGTCATAAAGTGGAAAAAAATTAAATATTTCCAATGTTTGTCAGAATCTAAGTGTCTGGGATCCTGCTCTGCACCGTGACACGTGATGATGTTCAAAACAAATCTAAACATCTCATCACTGGTTCATAGATGCAGCAGAGACGTCAGTCAATAACGAACAATTGAATACAATATTTACGACACTTCGCGAAACTCTCTTCACTGTGGCACAGGATATAAATTACCGGTATTTAAAGTTTGCCCTGAGGTCAGCATGCTTGGAAGGAAGCCCTTATTAAGACCATGAAAATGAGATGTGCAAAGCAAAACTTCAGATAAGGCCAAGTAAAATAGCCCGGTCGCCACGTGTCGTTCCTCCGCGCTGCTACCTGTCACTGGGTTTATTAGGCAGGGAAATAACATCCGTCCGTTGGAGAGAGGAAACAGCCACAGCTTTCAATCAAGCCAATAAACAAGGCTGTTCCCTCCAGAAACACACTGCCCTCTATTACGGTGCACAATGTGGAAAACCAATGCAGCCCTGGCTGCAGAAGCAGAGGGCTCTCCATGACATAATGGCTGTCATATCTTCATTAGAACGGCCCTGTTTCTCTTGGTCAGTGACGTTCAGTCGTTTCGCCTGTGTTCACCTGCATGTGAGCGCTGTTGTGCCTGTTAATCAGTCTTGTAGTGCAGTTTGGTTATTAGATTTTTGTTGTTCTTTTTCGTATTTGAAAGTGACTCATCAGATGTTTTTCATTGGTCCAGAAGCTTTGTGTGATATTATGGTTATGTTATGAGAGGAAGGCAATATTATTTAGTCACTTTTCCTAACGGGAAGATAAGTCTGTTGAATGTTGTTTAACAGTAAATAGTTTTACGCTCATGTTCTTAATACACAAACAGATGCTACTTGTATTTATTAATTAATGCATCAACTTTGTGTATAGGGTTGTGTTCAACTAAACAGGCCCAGGATTCACACTGAGTAGTTAATTAGTGAGTCCATTTAAGATGATTCTATTTAATTACATGTAATTATAGTGACATTTTTGACGGTGGGATTTAATGCATGTAATTCACGTGATGCAGCTTGAAAAATGTTAGGAAGCTGCGTTGCTTCCAGGCTGCTCTTTGAGACCGTATCATTGCAGTGATCATGTCGTATTTCATTTCTGTGTAGAAATGCCGTCGGGCTGGGTAATCTGAGATGACATGAAAGACAATCGCAACGTGCGCTGTGTTCTGATGACCTCATGACTCAGTTTGTGGTAAACAAATGTGGAGGCCATGAGTAGATGTGAAGGATCAACTGACTTGACTTCCTCCATCCATTTTCTTGGATTTTTATATTTCTTATTTTAAAAATATATATAACATATATTTATATATGTTTATATATGTTGTTTTATTGTTGTTTTAAAGCAAAAATAACATTTTGTTTTTAATATGACAGATTAATGGCTTGTGGCTTGACCATCTACGATAAATGGACTTTGGACTCGTTGTAAAATGTCTTGTCGTGGAACTTTAAGATTTGTACTTGAGCTGAAAATCTGTGGGCCTGTGCGGTGGAACCATGTGTCACTGCGTGTCTCATTTCTGTCTTTCACTCTGAGGGCGTATGGACTGTCGCAGCTCGTTCATCACCCTCTCTATGTCCTGCTCTACCACCAACGCAGCTGATTGAGAAAATGTGGGCGGACATTAAGAGGCCGCTGTGGGGTCAGGTGCTCGATGTGTGTGGCATGGCGCTGGCCCCATATTTCTGAAGCTGACTCTGACTCACAGCTAACAGCCTTCTCTGTTTTATGTCTGAGTCTGACCTGAACCAAATACATGTGGTGTCAGCGGTGGCCCTGAGTTACTGTCACCCTGTCAAACACTTGTTATTGAAATGGCTACAGTGGCGTCTCCTCAGCCTGATGAACCGTGTGTGTCACAAAGTGCAGCGTGCTGATTGGTTTTCTAACGTTTCAGTCAGTTTGATCCTCACTGTGGTCGGCTTCCAGTCGTCAGTTTATTGTTGCAGAGGTGTATACATACAGTACACGTACTACAGTGTACGTGCACATAATTAGGTTTTACTGTATTTATGTGTTTTATGTGTCTGCTCAGCAGATGTGCATTCACAGCTGTCCCAGCTTCACTGTCTGTAGTACATCACAGTTTTATGTCTGGCAAGTGCGTATGTGCGAGTGTCGTGACAGGGTAATAAGAAGCCACTTCGTATCGGTTACCCTGCTTTAGAGTCGGTATTAAGATGTGAACGTGTGTGTGTGTGTGTGTGTGTGTGTGTGTGCTCTTAACATACAAGATCTTTAGATGATAAATAAGTCACACTGCTTTTATACATCCAAAGTGTCTTACTGAACTGTGAAGAACAATATTGACTGGAAGATTCTCTAACATCTTGTTACTGCATCTTATGTTACCTGATGGTGAAAACAAATCTTTTGAAACTGCAAAAAAAAAAATTAAAATGACCAATTACATTACAGTAATAACGTCACTGAAAAAACTATTTTTGAGTTTTTAGGTTATTTCGGAGGAGGGGAGGGCGGGGAGGGAAGTTGAATTCCATTACATTGTGTCCGTTAATTGTTGCATAATTGCCTGTATTCTTCATGTTTGGTTCGGCCCTGCCTCGTACGATATGTACTGTACACTGTGTCCCATCCCATTATGCAGAAGTGTGGAGACCCAGCACACAAACAGCCG